TCCATCCTCCTCCTCCTCCTCATTCTCGTAGTCGTCGTCCTCTTCATCCTCATCATCGTCCTCCTCCTATTCTCTCCTCCTCCTCCTCCTCCTCCTCCTCCTCCTCCTCCTCATCATCATCATCATCATCATCATCATCATCATCATCATCATCATCATCATCATCATCATCATCATCATCATCATCCTTCTGATACTCATCATCATCATCATCACCACCACCACCATCAGCGTCCCCATAATCCGCACCATCAGTGTGGCGCATACTGAACTCCATCCTCATCAATTTCCTTCACCCTGCACAACGACCTGCTACGTTCCACAACTACCATTAGCATCAGCATCAGCACCATCATCCTCATCATCAACATCATCATCAGCATCATCAGCGTCAGCATCATCATCACCATTATTAGCATCATCATCATCAGCATAATCAGCATCATCAGCATCATCATCGTCATCAGCAGCATCATCATCAACAGCATCATCATCATCATCCTCATCATCATCATCATCATCATCATCATCAGCAGCAGCATAATCATTAGCATCATCATGGTCCGCAGCAGCAGCGCCATCCTCAACAGATTCCTCACATCATCGTCATCCGCATCAGCATCCGCAGCAGCCTCATCAGGGTCGTCAGCGTCCTCAGCAGCAGTAGCATCATTATCATGACCGTCGTCAGCAGCATCATCATGGTCGGAATTGCCAGCATTACCATCATCAACAACATCATCAGCATCACCATCATCACCACCACCATCATGACCCCCACCACCGCCACAATCATCATCATCCTTATCAGCAGCATCACCATCAAAATCATCATCATCATCAACAACATCAGCACCATCATCAGCATCATCATCGGCATCAGCATCATCATCAGCATCATCATCATCATTTTCATTATCAGCATCATCATCAGCATCGGCATCAGCATCATCATCAGCATCATCATCAGCAGAATCATCAACATTATCATCATCACCACCACCACCACCGTCATCATCATCATCATCATCGTCATCATCGTCGTCATCGTCATTATCATCAACACAGACATCACCAGCACCAGCATTAGCATCACCCCATTATCGAAAGATCAGCATGCTCATCATCATCAACAGCATCGTTGTCATGATCATCATCAGAGTGATCGTGATTGACATCAGCAGCATCACCAGAATCATCTGCATCATCATCAGAATCAGCATTACCAGCATAATCAGCATCAGCATCATCACCATCGTCATCAGCATCAGAAAAATTAGCATCCTCATCAGCAGCAGCACCATCATCATCAGCATCATCACCATCGTCATCATGATCCTTCTCATCATCTTCATAAACATCCGCAGCAGCATCACCAGCAGCATCATCATTGTCAGCATCATCATCACAAGCCGCACCATCATCATCATGACCATCACCACCATCATCATCACCACCACCTCCACCATCAGCATCATCCTCATCACCATCATCATCATCATCATCGGTATCGACATCGGCATCGTCATCGCCATCATCGTCGTCATCCTCGTCATCGTCGTCGTCGCCACCGACTGCCACCATCAGATCAGCATCATCACCGTCGTGTGCCTCCTCCTCATAAACCGCCACCGTGCCTTGAGGCACGAAACAATGTCGGCAGCTTCGTGGGAATCCTCAAATCTACACATGTGGTATTGGAAATAGTCTTCAAGGACCCCACAGGCCCCAAACCCGTGTTTGTCGCGTGCCTCCTTGGACGCCCCGCAGGCTTCCCGAGGCTGGACACGGGACTGCTTCAGAGACATGAGGGCCGCAAGAGAACCAAGGCCCCAAGAGGCGCCCTAGACGGCTCAAAAGGGTCCGGAATCACCCCTAGAGCGCTCCAATAAGCCCAAGGCGAAGTGAAGATGACCCAAGAGGCCCACAGGACGCCCTGAGAAGGCCGCAAGGGGACCCCAAGAGGAAAAAACATTGCTTGCCCAATAGCTGTTGCATGATTGTGGCGCTCTCGCCTTTTCGAGCTCCCCACCTTCCAAAACTGACGAAGAAGCTCCAAATATGGGCCCAAGACGGCCCACGAGACCCCCAAAAAACCCTCAGACTGCCCGACAAAAACCCAAACAGCCCAGGAGGCTTTCAAGGGATGCCGAAGAGGCCACCAAGATTAAGGGGGTTCCAACAGGGGCACAAAAGCGGGAACCCGAACTCGCTTCCCAGGCCTTCATTCCAAGTATGGCCTCCGAGACCGCCAGCAGGGTATCAAGAGGGAGGCCCTCAAGACCCCCCCCCGCCCGGAGGCCCCAAGAAGCCCCCGTGACACCCCGAAGGCAACTGGATCCGTCGCCCCCAGTTGCTTGTAAGAGGGACTGTTGGCGCGCCGAGGTTTCAAATTTCCCAAAGGGGTCTCGGCCGAACCAGCCGGCCACACGGAAAGACCCAAAAGGTGCACAAAGTCCTCGTATATGGCCTCCAAAACGATCAAGATGGCCCAAGATGGTCTCCAAGGAGTTCCCGAAATGCCTCAACGCGTCCAGGATGTCCACCGAAGATCCCAACATGGCCCCAAGATGCCTCCAAACAGGCCCATGGAGGACCCAAGACGGCCCGAAATGGCTTCAAGACGGCCCAAAAGACCTCTTGACCCTGCGCTCCCGATACTAAGCCCCTGGGGATAATAAGGTTCGGGGATCTGGCGGGGATAATCAACGATTGCCCAGGGGAAGGTGATGTTACGATGATGACGATGAGAATGACGATGATGATGATGATGATGATGATGATGATGATCCTGGGTGCTCGTGTAAGACTGACCTTGTAGACCTTGGCACAAGACTGAGTCGAGAGATTTCGAGGCTCGTGGCTACAACTTGCCTGCGCAAGAGGGGTCCTTGGCGCTTCTGGCCAAGAAACCTATCTTGCGCACGGCCTCAAACCACTCGCCCATGCAGGTTCGGCATCCTTTGGAGCCGTCCTTGCACGGGAGGCACGTGGTGCACGCCTGGGCGGCAGCGCTTGCCTCCTCGAAGGTGGCGTGCTTCAGCTCGACCGCCGTGGGGTCCTTGAAGGGCTTGGACTTGTTCTTGGCGTTGGCCTTGGCCGTTGGCCTTGGCCTTAGCCTTGGCCTTGGCCATGCGCAACATATTCATCAGCATGACCGACGACTGCCATCGCCAGATTGCATCGCTCGTCCTCGATAGCATGCTCATCCCCACTTTCCCAATGCATCAACCCACCTCCTCCTCCCCCTCCTCATCCTCCTCATTACCACCATCGTGCAAGTCAACCCTGCATCACTCCTCTCCCTCCCCATCCTCCTCCTCCTCCCACTTCCCCTCCTAGTATATTTATCATCGTGCGCCGCAGCATCGCCCTCGCATTCCTCATCGGCACCATGTCTTCATGATCATGTTCCAAACAGCCTCGTCATCGTCGCCATCATCTCATTAGCATCCTCATCACCACCACCAACACCACCATCACCATCACATCCGACATCGTTCGTATTAATCAGAAGCGCCATCGAGTGCCGTCGCCACATGTTCTGCCTCATCTATAGCATGATCCTCCCCACGGCCCCAACGGATCCCCATCATCATTATCATCATCAGCATCATCACCAACAGCATCATCAGCTGCACAGCATCAACATCATCAGCATCATCATCGTCCTCAGCATTCAGCAGCATCGTCATCATGATGATCAGACTCATCCGAATCATCATCAGCAACAGCATCACCATGGTCATCATCAACAACATGACCGTCAGCATCAGTATCGTCATCACCATCAGCATCACCAGCATCACCAGCATAATCATGATCAGCATCAGCAGTATCATCATCATCATCATCATCATCACCAGCATCATCATCATCATCATCATCATCAGCATCAACAGCATCAGCATCATCATCGTCATCCTCATCCGTATCATCATCGCCATCAATCAGTGCCGTCATCATCATCGGCATCATCATCATCATCATCGTCGTCATCGGCATCCTCGTCAGCGTCGCCATCGTCGTCGTCATCGTCATTATCACCAACATGACCCTCCCCGTCGGCATCGCCATCCCTACCAGCATAATCGTCATCATCATCATCGTCGTCGCTATATCCTCATACTCAGCGTCATCCATGCCATGCGCATCTCTAATACCATAGTACCTGTGTGGTAGTTGACCAGCGCTGTAGCAGTACCCGTATCTCCCCTCCTTCTACTCCTTATCTTCCTCCTCCTCACCATCACCACGATCAGCATAGACATAGTGATCATCGAACCGACCCCCAGCCTGATCCATGCTACACCATGTGCCCTGTTGTCCCCCTCCGCATGCTCAGCATGGTCCCATGAGTCATGCAGTCGTGAAGGCATTAACTCATGAGTAATCCCCCTCATCACCTTCTTCATTTTCACACCGATCACCCGTATCGTGCTCACCGTTACCCGCCTTCATCTTGATCATCATCAACGACAGCATTATCGTCATCATCATCAGCCTTACCACCATCAACAACAACACCAGCATGATCGTCTTCCGCATCATGATCATCATCATCATCAGCAGCATCAGCATCATCCTCATCATCGTCATCGTCACCACCACCACCACCACCATCGTCATCATCATGATCAGCACGATCATCATGGTCCAGCAGCATCATCAAAAGCCTGATCATCAGCATCATCATGATCATCACCACCACCATCATCATCAGCAGCATCATCAACCGCCTCATCCCTAGCATCACCATCATCATCATCAACAACAACAACAACAAACCAACAACAACGACAACAACAACAGCAACAGCATCAACAACAACAGCAGCAGCAGCAGCAACAACAACAACAACAACAACAGCAGCAGCAGCAACAACAACAACAACAAAAACAACATCATCACATTCCTCACCATCCGTGTCCTGCCCATCGCCACTCCCTCCTCATCCTCCTCTGCCTCTGAGACCATCTGGCTCAGCTCCCGCGCAGCTGGGCGCCTCGGCCTCGGGCCGTGGGGGGGGGGGGCGCCGCTACTGGGACGATGCCAAGTACGGCGAAGGGCGGCCGCGTGGCGCGCCCGCCGGAGGGCTCCTGAGGATGGGGGGGAGGAGGAGGAGGAGGGGGAGGGGGAGGAGGAGGGGAGGAGGAGGAGGAGGAGGGGGAGGGGAGGAGGCGGAGGAGGAGGAGGAGGAGGAGGAGGAGGAGGAGGAGGAGGAGGAGGAGGAGGAGGAGGAGGAGGATTTTTTGACATCAACATCAAAGGTGAAAGCCCGCCCAGACAATTAGGGCAGGCAGGCTGGCCAGAGCCAGCAAAAATCTAACACCTGCAAAAAGAGGAAAGGCGGAAGGCCACATGGACATCTCCAGCTGGCTGGAGGATTCCCCGTGGCCAACCGCTTCTCCCCCAGGCGTTAGTCCGAGCTGGAGCCACCCTCGTCCCGATGCGGCAGCTTCGAAACGAAAATGGCCTCTTCCACCATCTCCTGAGGAGAGGGCGAAACCTCAAGCGACACGAGGCCAGTGGCCTGAGACTGAGTCGGCGGGTCCCTCGGTGGACCGCTCGCCGCTGCCAGGAGACGTCGTGCGATGGCAGCACGGCGTCTCTCTCGTGCTTCCTCCTCCTCCGAGGCCGAGGTGAGGGGAGGCTCAGACGAAGGGGCGGGGACCTCCTCCTCCTCCTCCGCGTCTGGGACAAAACCAAAGGAGTGCCTGCCCCAGGGGCCACGCTCCACTGTGACCTCTGGGCGCTTGGGGTGGCGTCCTCTGCGGATCAGCCCCCAGTTATTGTAAAAAGTAGACCTGGTCGGTCCAACGCACCTTCCACCAAGCCCAGCTACTCTGCCATGCGACGAGTAGCAGAAACACTTCGTGCACACAACCAACGAGGCCAGATCAGAGCACGACAGAGTGATGCAAGAGTGGCCCCTTTTTCCAGCGCACCAGATTCTAGCCCCGCGATCGGCTTACACCGAGGAGCGCACGGGGGCGGGCCGTCGGTGGGAGAACGACTGACCCTGCCACAAGCCGTGCATTTCCAAAAGCCTGGGGAGGCCGCCAACTGCGCAATCTGGATAATCGTCCACTGGCATCTAGCAGACGTCGAATTCACAGAAAATGAGACCGTCGGCTTAGCCCAGGAAACTTCACTGAGGTCGAGGCGCGGCCAACTAGGAAGCACTTTCGCCGCTAGCTGACACACCGCACGAGACATTTTGATGTCGGGATCCAACCTCTCTCGGTCCTCCGCAGAAGGCTGCGGGTGACCAAGGTATCCTTCACCACCAGAAGCCTTTTTAGCACCGACATCGGCATAATGATTCCCAAAACGGCACATCTTATCGAATTCACAGGTCCATTCATCGAGTGATTGATGCGCCTTGACTTTGTGGAGAGCGTTCACCTTCCACATTTCATGCAACAGAGACGACGCGAAACCACTGTAACAACGTTTCGGCGACAGCTGGTCCACGGGTTGCAAAGAAAAGTGGTCCTTGACCAGCTGCGCGTCAGTGTAAAACTCCGACGGAGCACTAGCGAAAAAGACGGCTTGGCAGAAGGCGGCAAATTCACCTGCAGGAGCTGTCTGCGGGTACGTCGGCGGCACGGGGCCGTACATCATGGCCCGCAAGTCGCCCGACTGGTCGACAACTGCGAAGCACCATCCAGCACGTGAAAGCTCACGCACCACATGCTTTAAGGCGCTCCCGTCAGTGAAAACGTGCCCGCTGAAATCAAAACTCTGGGGGTCCTGGGGGAGCCCCTCAGGAGCAAAGAAGGTGGCTGAGGGCTCCCCCGAGGGCTTGGGAAAATAATCCCCAGGGTGCGCAAAAGATCCGAAACAGGAAAGCACGCTACTAGGCTCCTGCAAGGCTCTCTGGATGACTTCTGGCTCCACAAGGCTCTCCCGAAGCTCCTGGACGTCAGGGCACCTGCAGACCCAAAGGCGGTGGTGGAGGGTGTCAGGGGCGGTTCCATAAGTCGGGTTTGGGCGCATGTATTAGCTCTACAATTAGCACAGTTATCCATGTAAAGAATGACCATCGAATAAACTATAACGGTTTTAATGAGCCATTCGCAGTTTCGCCGTATAGAAGCTTATACTGAGACATGCATGGCTTAATCTTTGAGACAAGCATATGACTACTGGCAGGATCAACCAGGTTTGTACTCAACCACTGAGCCCTGGCACGCCGAAGCATGCCAGAGACAGCAGTCTTGCACTCAAACAGTCAACCAGAGAATCCAGCAACACATGGCGACAAGCGCCAGCGCTGCAACTCATCAGAGCTTACTCCGCGACTCTGACGCGCCAGGCACGAAGAGCCGCGCAAAGCAGCACTACGCCCCAAGCGCCCAGGCCTCGCACGCTTAGCGTGCGCTGTTCTTTGGAAGCTGGACGAGGAGGACTCGGGCAGGCTGACGTGCTCTGTCGTCGCCTCTCGGAGGTTGCCACGCGGGCCTCCTCGCGGTGCACGCCGCCGGCGGCCTTGCCGTGGGCAGGCGGGCAGGGCCTCCGGCGTGTGCGGCAGGCGGCGGCGCCCGCCCGCGGCGGCGGCGGCGGCTGCAGGCGTGAGCGGGAGGCCGTCGGAGGCGCGGGGCGGCCGAGGCCGAGCAGGCGCTCGTCGACGGCAGCGTGGACGGCTTTCCAAAACTCGCCACGGCCTTCCGTGGCTTCCGCCACAAGTTGTGCCCTGCGCCGTCCGAGGTTTGCAATGGCCCCCCTTCGCCATTCGCCATCGATTGTCCCCCCCCTGTGCCTGCCGAAACACGCGGACTGCGCGAGGGAGGCCCAGGGCGACGGATTCGGGCTGCAGCGGCGTCGACGGCGTGCGCGGCCCGCCGCCCTGGTGCCGCTTTTCGCGGGGGTGGAAGCGGCGTGGCCGGCTGCCAGGGGCAGCGGCACGAAGGACGAGGTGGAGCTGGGGGAGCTGGACGACAGCTGGGCCGACGCCCTCCCCTGCCTCCCACGGCCGTGGAGGGGCGGGCGGGCGAGGAGCCAGCCGTGGGCATGTTGGCTCAGGCCGTTTAGCATTCTGGACAGGTGCCCGCGCGGCAGCGGAGCGGCGTCAGTGTGGCATCGGCATTGGCACCCGAGGCCTCACACCCTCGCTTGGCAGCCGTGGGAGGGACGCGCGCTGCTCAGACTCACAAGAAGACCGACGGCTCCATGACTTATCTAAACGACCCGCGGTACATCTAGCTGCCTTTGGATCCACTATCTTCCCTTGTGTCGCAGGGCCTCGATATCAACGAGAACGCGCCGAGCGCTCCGCATATCGCTGAAGCCGAGGGTCAGGAGCGCTGCAACATCTTCGGGCCAAGACGGTACTCGCTCGCCAGCTGGGAGCGCCGACTGCCTCGCATCAGCTGGACGGGCAGGGGGAGGCACAGTGTAGCTGAGCACGTGTTCTCAAGGATGGTCCAGCTACGACGGCAATAGTTAGCACCAGACAAGGACAGCGCCTTGGTCGAGCGCTACCAATGGCATCTGGCTCCAGCGCCACCGCAGACACCAGCACCTCCGGCATCCAGCACCTCTGCGAACCAGCGTCTCAGCGATTCTGAGGATAAGACTACTGTCCTCGCCACCAAGGCATTCCTCAAGCTGACGGACACCCAGACTGACGAGCTGGACGGCCTTTCCAAGCAGGTCGTCCAGTCGCGCTCCCAGTCTCAGCACTTCGAAAAATATGTTGCCATTGTGGCGCAAAAAACGTTGCATATCGACGTGCCCTTAATCGAGAAATGAACCGGGACAGCTCCGCAACATTGGATGGGTCCAGCACCAAGCAGGCCAACGAATTAGACGACCTGTGCAAGCAGGTGGAACAGCTGCAAGACAAGGTCGTGCAATTCGAAGGGACTGCGACCTACCTGGCCGAGCACGTCAGGAGGAGCAATGACGAGATCAAGAAAAAGCCCCATGAGGACATTTCTGCTAATATTGAGGAGTACACCTTGGACCAGGCACCCAACAGCGAGCATGGTGACAACGACTCCTCCAACGCGACCAACGACAATGGCGATCAGAGTTCAGGTAAAAGTTATGGCGACAGCTCCAGCACCTCGCCACGAATGCCTTGATGACCCCGCGCACGCCGACAAGATACGGCTAGACCTCAGAGAGGCACTAACCAGGGACAAGGAAAGGAACTTCGGAACTTCTTGATATCTCTGAGCCTCAACGACGACCTTGCCCAGTACTGGCAGAAGACAGATCATGAGCAGAAGCATCCCGAGACCAGTGAATCCACAAGGTCAGCTGCTTGCACCATCAGAAGAAGCAGCTCCAAAAATTGTGCACCAATCTCCAGGTTGGGGGTGTCGGAATGTCTTGGCACACCTTTTCCCCCCCCCCAAGGTTCCCAAGCCGGGCCAGCCACGGCCGGCATAGCAAACAAAACAGCTATGAATACAGGTCCAAGCCGATCCAAGATCCTCATCCATCCGCCTTCCTTTAGCCTCCCTGAAACCTCTTCAGTCCAATCTCCGCTATCCTCCATCCTCCATCCTCCCTCCTGCCCCATCTTCCTCATCCCCCACCTCTTTCCCCTCGTCCTTCCCCCCCTCCTCCTCCTCCTCTTCCTCTTCCTCCTCCTCCTCCTCCTCTCCTCTCCTCCCTCTCCTCTCTCTCCTCCTCCTCCTCTCCTCCTCCTCCTCCCTCCTCCCCTCCTCCTCCTCCTCCTCCTCCTCCTCCTCCTTCCTCTTCCTCCTCCCCATCCTGATACCACTTCTCCCCATCCTGATGTTACTCCTCGTCTCGCCCGCGGCTGCACGGGCGCGGCGGGGGGCGGCACGGGAATCTCCCAGGTGGCAGCCAACCTGAGCGCGCGACGAGCTGCGGCCCTCGTCTCTCCACATATGACCCAGGGTTGCACCTCTCCTCCTCCTCCTCCTCCTCCTCCTCCTCCTCCTCCTCCTCCTCCTCCTCCACTTCGCCAAAAACGACCCGACCGACGAGCTCTGGCAGAGCTCGACCCCATCACCGCGAAGGCTGTCTTCCAGGCCTCCAGGACCTTCAGCCACGACACGGCGTCCACATATGACGGCTTTCACCCTAGGCACTTCGCACTGCTGGCGGAGACTGAGCTCGAGCTCGTCGCCCGCCAAGCTCCGGCAGCGCAAGCGCAAGCTGATGGCGTTGAAGCAGGCGGGCGCAGACATGCGCAAGTTGTACAGATCAGGCTTGGATCAGGCCAAGCATTTCGGTACGGAGGTGGTCGGATTAACTAATAAAAAATCAGAGAAAGCCAGAGTATATACCTGAACACCGTGGGCCCCCGAAGCCATACGAGATCCCGAATCCTAAGCCTGTGTCTGTTGGGAGATCCCACGTGGAAAGCCGCTTTGGGGCCAGTGGTTTTGTTATGGGCTTATGGTCTGGCGACTGTCAACGCAGCCTAGCCTTCTTCGGATGACGCACGGGGAGTTCCGCGACAAGGTGTTTAACATTATGATGAGCCCCCCCCAAGAAATGGACTACCTGCAGAGGACCCATAGGAGCCACCATTCTGAGTCTCCAGAGAATCAACTGGCACCTCAAAAACCCCTTCGAGCTCGAGACCCCCGAGGGCCTGCTGATCCAGCTCACAGCGATGTCCCCTGCGCTCCTCAAGTACCACCTCGAGGAGGCCCGGAGGGCGAACCTCGAGAAGCGTGCAGCGGCCAAAATGGGAATGCCCCAAGAAAGGTTAGACGTCTCGGCTGCGAAGCAGGTGCTCGAGGATAACAGTCTCACCCACTCTGAAAGAAGCAGCCTGATGTCGTACCTTACCCAGTGCCTCTGGACTAAGACTAGGCTCGCGGCGGCGGGATACGACATCGGCACGACGTGCCCGTGCGGTTTCGAGCGTGATGGCATGGCGCACAGGTTCGAGTGCCCCCTCGTCTTCAACCTCAAAAGTGAGATGCTCCAGCCCCGTGATGAATCTGAGTCGGAAGGGTACCCCCGAGCAGCTCCCCTCGCACACGGGTTTCAGATTTTGCCCCCAGCCTGCATCGCCCGCCCTGAAGGTTTCGGTTTCCCCTGCGCGTTTTGGTCCCGAAACGGCGATCCTATGGACGTGGCGATGGCTGGGGAGTGTTGTGTCGACGGAAGTTGCTTCAAACAGGGACCCGAGGTCTGGCACCCGACTGGATGGGCTGTTGCTGCTATTAATGCGGAAGGCGAGTGCACCGCGCACCTCTCGGGGCAGACGGGAGAGTTGCTCCCGCCGACCTCGCCTGCTGCCGAGCACCTGGCAATGGCCGTGGCTCGCACCTGTCCGCTTATCACGTGCATTCATTCCGACCATCTTGGAGCCATCACTAAGTATGGCCAGGCGGATTGCGATAGGAAGTATATCTATGCGTGGTTGGAGCTGCTAGCCAAGAGTAAACATAGCAAAGGGACCCTTCCTAGGATCTGGAAAGTAAAGGCCCACCAAGATTTAGACAGTTTGGACCCTGGTTCCAGGGAACAGTTCCTGGCCATGGGAAACGACGTTGCCGATAGATTAGCCAAGGCCGCTGCCAGCAAAGCGGGGGGACCTTCGCCTGCCGAGATCCTGGATTTCGATTCGAGCCACGGTTTCCTGTTGCGATGTTTGAGGTTCCTCGCCAAAGGCCTCCAGGCATGGCCTGCCATCGCCCCAAAACCTGGCAGCGAGGGGCCGAGTTTCAAGCCCGAGAGCAAGCCACTAGTGGGTGCCGCCGCCGTCCTCGCCCCTCTCCTGCCTCCGACCTGTCCTCGCCCCTCTCCTGCCTCCGACCTCCGAGCCTCCTGGGGTCCCTGTGGCTACCGATGGCGACCCCGCTCGGGGCGACCAGAACCAAGGCGGCGCCCACCAATGGGCCCAAGTAGGGGATAGCGTCTGGATGTGCGAACTCTGCCGAGTTCGCGCTCGCTCTGAAGCTGCTAGAGATAGGAAGTCGCGTCAGGCCTGCCCAGGACACTGCGCGAGTCTAGCTGCCCTTTCTGAAGACAATAAAGGGTACAACATTTACGTTTTTGATCGCTTAGATTCCGAGAGCTGCGTTCTTGCCTGTTGGTCTTGTGGCGCTTACAGCGAACTCTATCCCAAGGCATTCAAGAACGAGTGCTATGGGGCCCCCACCAGCAGCAACAAGTCTTCAGCACTTAACTGCTTTAAGACCTGCCACCACCTCAAGGGAGGCATGGAAAGCAGGCCGTGTTTCGCACCCCCAGTCACCCTCGATTCAATGATCAGGGATTTCCAGCAAGCGCCTGGGTAGTACAGCAGAGAGCAGACAAGACTTCACTCCTCCTCCTCCTTCTCCTCCTCCTCCTCCGATGCAGATGGGATCGAGCTCCCCCCCCTCGCTGGGTCCGCCGAGAGCCTCATCGAGCCCCCCCAGCTGGATCTGCCGTGAGCCTCGAGAAGGTCTCGCGAATGGGATCGCCCCCCCCCCCCCCGGTGGACGTGGTCCTGTGGGCGTGGCGTGGTGGAGGGTGCCGTTGCTCCCCCCTGTGGGTGTGGGGTGCTTCGTCGACGTCGGCGTCGGCGTCTTCCGCCGTCGTCGTTGTGCTCCGTCGGCGTCGGCGTCGGCATCGGCATCGGCATCGGCATCAGCGTCGGCGTCGGCGTCTGCGTCGTCGTCGGAGTCGGCGTCGGTGTCGGCATCTGCGTCGTCGTCGTCGTCGTCGTCGTCGTTGTCGCCGCCGCCGCCGTCGTCGTCGGCGCCGTCGTCATCATCGTCGTCGTCGTCAGCGTCGGCGCCGTCGTCATCTTCGTCGTCATCGTCGTCGACGCCATCGTCGTCGTCATCGTTGTCGTCGACGCCATCTGGGGGGAGGGCTGTGGGACCCTGGGACCCACCACATCTGCGGGGGGGGGCTATGAACCCTCGACCTGGGACCATGTATTCCCCTCCAAGCTCCTTCCCAGACCCAGGATTGCAGTATAGCGAATCCCGAGCAGGATCACAGGAGTGGTGGCGGAGAGAACGGCGAAAAGGGAGCGGCAGAACGGTGGAGCGCAGCGACACCGGAACAAAAAGTCACACGGCCCGAGGACGAGACCAGGGACTCAGACCAGGCAACGCCGACCAAAGAGGGCGCAACGGCCCGAGGACGCAGGGCCAGGATCCCAGCTCCTCCTCCTCCTCCTCCTCCTCCTCCTCCTCCTCCTCCTCCTCCTCCTCCTCCTCCTCCTCTCCTGTCTCCTCCTCCTCCTCCTCCTCCTCCTCCTCCTCCTCCTCCTCCTCCGCCTCCTCTTCCTCCCCCTCCTCCTCCTCCTCCTCCTCCTCCTCCTCCTCCTCCTCCTCCTGGATCATGGCCTGGTCGACGTGAGGATCGAGCGGCACCCCCAAACGCCTTGGCGATCCCGTCCGACACCTGACCGACACCCTGGAAGACGGACTGCCGCGCGAAGGCCTGGGCGAGCAGGGTGCACAGGCCAGCCGGGCACACCTCGGCCTCGGCCAGCCTCCACGAGCCATCGGCGCCCTGTCCTTCCAGGACCTCGTGGGAGCTGCCTGGGGTGGCTACAGAAGCCCCGGCTGGGGGCGCCCCTGCACCCCCAACGCCAAGGCCAGCAACTCGAGCGCCCACGGCTTAGCTTGCTTAAACGGGGGGGGGCACACACACGCGCGGACGGCAGATGGAAGTGCCAACTGCGATCGAGCATTGTCGAGGGCGCAGTGCGCCACCCGTGTACACTGTCAAATGCAGCTAGGGGTGGCGTGAAGGAGAAACTGCAAATCCAGGCGAAACGTGCAGCGGCCAGAGAACCGAGGAGGCAAAACTCAACGAGTTAAACTGAAGCGCAAGCAGTCTGGTGCGAATTGGCGGCCGCTGAATCACCATCGAAGTGTTAGACAATGTAGCGCACGAATTAAGAGAGCTGTACTGGCTGCCAGACCAGCCAACGTGAGTGCAGCAAGGACTCACCACAGACAGCCAGCACGAGCTGGCGACACATTCACATACACACACACATACACACACACACACACACACACTGGCCAACAATTATGAAGTCCAGCTGCACTTTGACACGCGAAGTGTCCCACCTTCGGCGGCCGCCGTGTGGATGGGACGACGGGGTCGCCCGACGCATTCGGCTGCTCCATGGCCGTCCGTGGGCCTCGTCCAACGCGACGATCTGGCACCCACGGCCGACGGCGTGGAGGAAGCCCGCCGGCTGCGGGACCCACCCGGTGACGCTCCCGGAGAACGCCTGCGCTTCATCCGCTCCGGCCGCTGCAGCTCTGGCCCTGCGAAAGTTGGCGGCGCGCAGAGGGGGGTAGGGGGAGGGGGGAAGGCTTCTTAGAAGCACCCCTGCCTCTTAGAAGGTGCGGGCCTTCTCTGTAGATTTACGGCCGGCGCCTTCTAAGAATCAGCCTCCTTCTAAGAAGCCTTCCCCCCTCCCCCTACCCCCTTCTCCTCGGCGCCAAAAAAGAGGGGCGGGAGGCCCAGCAACAGCGCCACCAGCAGCTCTGGGGACGCCCCCCACTCGCGGGCCTCACAGACCTCGTTGGCGGCATCGGTGAGGATCCCGGCGATCACGTCCGCTGCTCGCTGGCCTTCGAAGGTGGGCCCGCTGGTGCCGGCCGCTGCTGCGGCGGGTGCCGCTGGCACTGCGGCGGCTGCCGCTGCTGGGGCTGCGGCGGGGGTCTCGATGCCAGCGGCTCCCGCTGGATCTGCTGGCGGTGGTACTTATTATGGCCCTCGCTTGCGCTTTGCCGCTGGGTTGGCGATCGTCACGCTGCTGAAGGAGCTGACGGACTGTGCCCTGGCCTTCTCACAGTGCTTCGACAAGGCCATCGAGGTCTGCATTCCACTCCTGCATGTATTGCTCGCCATCGTACTGGGCGAGGCCGCTCCAGGTCGCATCGTCCACGACGAACTCTTCGGTGGCCGTGGTGCTGGTGTCGCATGCCCTGGCTGCGTCGAGCTTGATACGGTGCGCCTCCTCGGCTTTGGCGCGGGCAGCCTCGGCCAACGCGGCCTCGAGCAATGCCTCGTCGCGGTTCCTCATTTTCGATACGAGCCACTCCGCTGAGTCCATGACTTTCCAAACTGACTTCTCCATATGTGCACACGGCGGCACAGGGCTGGTCGAAGAGCTCGTGGAGGGTGCTGTTAAGGAGCGCATCAAGGTATACAGTAATGTCCGTGTCCTTGGAGATCGCTGCCGCCTTGTCCTTTGACCACGGTGATGGTTAGGCTGTGAATCACCCCCAGGTTCCTTGAAGCGACCTCGGCTCCTTTGGCGACGGCGATAGAGGGTTGCCACACTTGTGTCACTCGACTTTGACAGCCCACGTCCAACGGTAGTGGCACTGCTTACATACGATGGAGTGTTGAGCGTCGTCGCGTCGACCTGCTGCGTTGCCTCGGCCTTCTGCTGGCGGCATGGTGCCACGACAGGTCCGAGCGATATGGGATATATCACACACATTGGTGCACGAGCCCTTTCCAGGAGCGGACTCTGAGGGAAGGATATGGAAGGCTGTCTCGGATCAGAGGTGCCCACTGCTTCCGCTGTTTTACCAATGGCTACGGACCCGCAGCAGGGGGAGGACAAGGGGGAGGAGAAGAAGCAGGAGGGTGCAAAAGTGCCGAACGAATGACCCAAGGATGCAAGGGTCCACGGGAGCCGCATCACTCTTATCAATGGTTTGACTGTGCTCGAGACGAGACATCGTCGCTGGCACACGTTTTACACTGGAGCAGTCACTAGTCATGCCCAACGCTGTCGACAGGAGAATACGAGTTGATAGGGGGCCCCTGACGATATCCCCTGTGCCAATCCGCACGGCGAAGGCAGACACAGAAAACAATTGTGTGGGCGACGCGGTCCTTTTTCTCCTCCCCTCCTCCCCATCCTCCTCCTCCTCCTCCTCCTCCTCCTCCTCCTCCGCCTCCTCCTCCTCCTCCTCCTCCTCCCCCTCCTCCCCCCCCCTCCTCCTCCTCCCCCTCCCCCTCCCCTCCTCCTCCTCCTCGTATCCCTCCTCCTCTTGCTGCTGCTGCTCATCGTCATTTACTCCCATCTCCTTCATCCACTCAGTTTGCAGCGGCGACAAGACAAACACGAAAGCCATGAAACCGAGGGGTGGGAAGCTGAATGCGATCCTCGATGTAGCGCTGATGCAGTTCAACAAACCGCTGCACCCAAGTACCATCCTGGTCCGGAACAGTGTGACCGTTCAATAACGAGGAGGAGAAGAGGCAGTAACAGAAGAACGGATGCACCCAGACTCAATTCAGAACACAGAGCGGCAACGGTGGTTGCGGCACAATCCCAAGCACACAGCAATGCCGATGCCACCTCGAACACAACCCGAGTGAAGCTGGAGGCTTCGACGACCGCCAGACCCACGTAAACCAACAGTACGTACAATTCACGACGAGGCATCGTCAACTCGACGCGGTGATCCCCATAAGTGCATGTGTTCCTAAACGTGCCCTTTCCCAGGGAACACGTATGAGTTTTAAGACTAATTCTGGTGATGGAATATGGGTGGTTCTGACTCCGAATGAACCCGCATGTCTACTCACATTCTTCAGGAGGCGCCGAAGGGGAGCGGACATCCCAGCGACCAAGCACGAGGCTGAGACTGGCGAAAACACGAGTGCGCAGCGTGCTTGCCAAAATCGCCCAATGATTTTTGTTTGTCCGCGGGGGCTGCAGCTGCAGAATCTGGCCTGGTGCACCAGGCCCAGAGAGCCAGTGGGTGCAGCGAAACGCAGCTAGCGCCAAGCCGAGGGAGCGAGCTGGTTCTTACAGAACCATAGCACCCAAGGCCAAAACAGCCAAGGGAGCGCGAAAAATATCAGAGGGAGGAGCTAGGGGGACGGAAGAGACCAGAAAAGAAGCAAGAACACAAATTCGTGCGTCCACCTATGACGTCGAATGAGTCTGAAGATGGGCGGCTGAATACGAACGGATCGGAACACGAGTTGGTCTGAGTATGAGTGGCGCTGAACACAAGTGAGTCTGGATATGGGTGGGCCGAAGTAACAAAGGGTCCAACTGTAAGACATTCTGGGCATAAACGAGTCTGGGTATGAGTGAGTCTACGCGTCGGTGACTCAGCTTTGGCGGCTGAGTACAACTGGGTCTCACCGGGTGCGAATGAATGCTCGTGAGAATAAGGTCGAGTGCGCCAGCATCTACTGATAGTTGTTCTTCGTATGAGGGGGTTTGCACATGATTGGGCCTGCGTACGAAGCTATAAAAGAATCATTGGGCCTGGGTGTGAGTGGCTGAGTATGAGTGCATCTACATGCGAACGGATATCCTCGGCCCTCCCGAAGCCCCCTCGGGTTTGTTGGAATCCGCCGATCCGGCGTGCGAGTTTCAAAGACCCTCAAAATAGCCTGAACCTCAAGTCCTGAGTTTCAGCTCTACTGGGGGGTGGGTGCCGGGGTGGCTCTGCCGGGGTAGGGGGAGGGGGGGGGCTCGATGTAATTCCCGGGGCGGAATCGGAGCTCCAGCTCACTCCGGGACGGCCCCCTCGCCCAGGAGGGCCCCAACATGAGCCACGAGGGCCCCGAGTCGCCGAATGATCGCCACAGGACGCCCAACATGTCCACAAGACGGCTCCAGAAGCGCACTCAGAAGCCCTGAAAAGGCCTCCCAAAGAAGGCCCAAAGAAGCAAAAAGTGTCCCATGCCCCATGGAAAAACGAACAATCTTAGCACATTCGCCTCTTGGGGCCTTCGGAGCGTCGCAGGCGCCCCAGGAGAGCCCCAAAAACCGCCCAAGAAGCCGCCAAGAAGGCTCCAGGACGGCCCAGGAAAGGCCCAAGATTGCCCAAGAGAGGCCCCTGGAAGGGCCCATGGGCGCCCCAGCACGGGCCCAAGAGGGCGCTCGAGATGGCGCCGAGGCGGCGGAAGAAGTGTCGAAGACGGCCAAAGAAACCCCCAGCAGGCCCCCAGAGGCCCCGAAGAGGCCCCGAAGAGGCCCCAAAACGCTTCCAGCTGGCCCCGAAGAGGCCCCCTGAGGCCCCCTAGAGGTCCCCAGCAGTCCAAAAAAATACATCCAAGACGCCTTCTAGAGGCCTCCAAGCTCCAAGACTTCCCCCGAGAAGCTCAAAACCAGCCCCCAATACTTGCACAACGCTTACGTCTGAACACAAGCGCTGCAAAACAAAAGATTGTTCCACGCTTTCACATACCTATACGACCGCCATGCGGGCGATAAGGAGGTTGAGAGGAATGAGATCACATGCCCACCCTGACAGACCTCCAACCTGTCACCTTGATATCATATCTCTCTTTATCTCTGCCTCTCTCTCTCTCTCTCTCTCTCTCTTTCTGTCTCTCTTTCTCTCTCTTTCTGTCTCTCTCTCTCTCTCTTTCGCCCTCTCTCTCTCGCGCAAAAACAAATGAATTGATGGATTGGGTTGGGTGGATTGGAGTGGGTGGGATGAGATATGATGGGACAACATGGGTTGGATAAGATGAGATGGACTAGACTGGACAAAATGGATTGGATAACTAAGATCAGCTGGGTTGGATAAGAAAACCCGCCGCTGGCGCCGAAAAGCATGAATTATGAAATTAACGACATGCGTTAGCGCCGGGACGCCCGCGACACCCGGGAAACCCGGGACACCGCCCGGCCCAACTAGGACACCTCCTGGCCACCGGCGGACGGGAAACGGACTGTCGCTCCTACTGACACCCGCGACACCTGGGACACCGCCCGGCCCAACTGGGACACCTCACGGCCACCGGCGGACGGGAAACGGACGTTCGCTCCTACTTCGGCCTAGCTACAAGAGGATCACGCGCAGCTTCGCCTCGCCCGCACGCACGACACGAACGCGAAACCGAAACCGATTTCCTGGCGGGGGGCCTCCGTTTCACTGCGATCTCACCCCCCAATATCCGATTCCCCTGTCTTCGGTGTCCTTCACACCCATGATCTCACAAGGGCCCGCAGAGGACCGCGCGAAGGCCCCAGAGACACCAAAAACATGATGTTTCCCGGCAGAGACCAGTGAAGCACAAGGCTCCACAAAGAAGTGTGACGCAGACTGCTCTAGCACAAAGCTTGCCAGAGAGCGCGCCAAATCGGCGAGGTGTCAACCCAAAGAGGGCCAACACCTGGCCCCAAAGAGGCTTTCCAACAACCGCCGAACATCTCCAACAACCGCCGAAAATCTCCTCATCCTCGTCACGCTCCTCCTTATCCCCCCCTCTTCCACTCCCCACTTCCTCCTGTTCCTCCTCATCCTCGGCATCCTGCTACTCCTGCACTTCCCCCCCCACCCCCCTCCACCTCATCATGATCCTCCTCCTCTTCCTCCTCATGCTACTCCGTTGCCTCCAATCCCAATCCTCATCATCATCCTCACCGCTCGCCGTCGTCGCCGGTCATGACCGCCATCGTGAGCTTCTGGCAGCAACGGAAGCGTCCCGGATCGGCGGCACTGGCCGGGGGCCACTACAATATCCTAAGGCATTCTTCCGTCCCCTGTGGTTGCCCATTGCCCCCTGGAGCCTCCCATCGGCGTTTTGGGACATCTCATCTGGCATCCAGAGACGCAGAGAGCACAAGGAAGAGCAGCAGCAATCGCAATCGTAGTCGTAGTCGCAGCCGTAGTCGGAGTCGCAGTCGTAGTAGTAATACTTGTCGTAGTAGTAGTAGTAGTAGTAGTAGTAGTAGTAGTAGTAGTAGTAGTAGTAGTAGTAGTAGTAGTAGTAGTAGTAGTAGTAGTAGTAGTAGTAGTAGTAGTAGTAGTAGTAGTAGTAGTAGTAGTAGTAGTAGTAGTAGTAGTAGTAGTAGTAGTAGTAGTAGTAGTAGTAGTAGTAGTAGTAGTAGTAGTAGTAGTAGTAGTAGTAGTAGTAGTAGTAGTAGTAGTAGTAGTAGTAGTAGTAGTAGTAGTAGTAGTAGTAGTAGTAGTAGTAGTAGTAGTAGTAGTAGTAGTAGTAGTAGTAGTAGTAGTAGTAGTAGTAGTAGTAGTAGTAGTAGTAGTAGTAGTAGTAGTGGTAGTAGTCGTAGTAGGAGTGGTAGTAGGAGTAGTAGTAGTAGTAGAAGAAGTAACAGAAGAAGTAGTAGTAGTAGTGGTGGTGGTGGTGGTAGTAGTAGTAGTAGTAGCAAGAGTAGAGGTAGAAGAAATAGTACTAGTCGTAGTAGTAGTAGTACTAGTAGTCATTGTACGAATACTGATACAGGTAGACGCAGTGGTAGTAACAGTAGTAGGAGTAGTAGTAGGAAAAGTATTGGTAATCATATTCGTGGTTGTTGTTGTTGTCGTAGCTGTAGTGGTATTGGTGGTAAAAATATGACTTGTAGTAGCAGTAAGCATAATAATAAATAGTAGTAGTAGTGGTTGTAGTAGTAGTAGTAGTAGTAGTAGTAGTAGTGGTAGTAGTAGTAGTAGTTGTTGTTGTTGTTGCTGTTGTAGTGTTAGTAGTACTAGTATTATAAGTAGTATTATTAGTAGTAGTAGTAGTGGTAGTAGTGGTAATAACAGTAGTTATAGTAAGACTAGTAGTACCAGTCGTCGCGGTAGTCGTAATCCTCGTAGTAATCGTAATGACAGAAGCGTAAAATACGAGTAGTAGTTGTGGCGGTGGTAGTAGTAGTGGCTGTAGTAGGAGTAGTTGTTGTCGTGGTTGTAATCGTATGAATAGCCGCCGTCGTCGCTGCAGTAGTTGTAATGTAATAATCGTCCTCGTAGTAGTAGTAGTAGTAAAAGTAGTAGTAGTAGTAGTCGTAGTAGTATTAGTAGGAGTAGTAGTCGTCGTAGTAGTAGTAGTAGTAGTCGTAGCAGCAGCAGCAGCAGTAGTAGTAGTAGCAAAAGTAGTAGTAGTAGTAGTAGTAGTAGTAGTAGTAGTAGTAGTAGTAGTAGTAGTAGTAGTAGTAGTGATAGTAGTAGTAGTAGTAGAAGTAGTAGTAGTAGTAGTAGTAGTAATAGTAGTGGTGGTAGTGGCAGTAGTGGTAGTAGTAGTAGGAGGAGAGGTAGTAGGAGTAGTAGTAGTAGAAGTTACAGAAGAAGGAGTAGTAGTAGTAGTAGTAGTAGTGGTAGTAGTAGTAGTAACCCGAGTAGTAGTAGTGATAGTAGTAGCAGTATGTGTGACCGTATTGGTGTAGGGATACGAATGCGAGTGGTAGCAGCAGCCGAAGTAGTAGTCGTAGTAGTGGCATGGGTATGAGTAGTAGTAGTAGTAGTCGTAGTAGCAGTAGACGTAGCAGTCGTAGTCGCCGTATGTCGTCGTATTAGTCGTCGTAATCGCGAAAGTAATGAGGGTCACAGGCCGACGCGAAAGGGCCCGTGTCACAACCCCCCTGGCGTCGCCACCCTGGGAGACCACATTGTGCGTTGTCCTTGGGAGGTCCACATGGGATGAGGTCCTCCTCCTCCTCCTCCTCCTCCTCCACATGGGATGCTTGACACGTCGCGGCGATCATGGGGTTTTGAAAAGAGACGCGTGTGCGTTCGAAAACGGGCACTGCGGCCGAGAGGCCCGAGAGGCCCAACGCGATGTTTGCTACGTGGCGGCGATCACAGGGCTCTGGAAGGAGACGCGCATACTTCCGAAAGCTGGCATTCGCCAGAGAGGTCCAAACAGTGTGGGCGCGAACGGGCACATGTCACGAGCTGGCGGGCCCACTTCGGGCGGCCCCCATGCGAGCCCTGCAACGTCGCGAACAAGCCCGTGCCACGCCCCCTGGCGGCCCCGCCGGGGGGTCCTCACGCCATGTCTGCTACGTGGCGACGGCCAGGGGGCTATGAAAAGAAAAGCGCCCACCTACGAATTAGCCTGGCGAAAACCCAACCATCTGCAGTTGTGAATACTGCAATTGTGGAAACCCTCTTACGTGGAACTCCCTATGTGGCCACGCCCCCACGAAGGCTGTGCCGCTGGGGCCTTCGGTGAAGCTCCTTGTGGAGTCACAAAACGTGTGACGGGTGTGCCGAAACGTGGATGTCGCAGAAATGCGGGCTGCGCCACTGGGACCGTACGTGGAGCTCTCTGTGGGGTCACGAAACGTGTGAGGGGTGTGCCGACACGGAAGTGGCGCCCACATGTGGGCTGCGCCACTGGGGCCTCAGGGGGTACTCCCGATGGGGCCACGAAACGTGTGAGGGGTGTGCCGAAACGGGGGTGTCGCCCATATGCGGGCTGCGCCACTGGGGCCCGAGTCGGCTTGAGCGGACCACGTGGTCCCCGCGGAGGGAATACTGAGGTCCACAAGTTGGGGAAGCGGTTGGCCCACAAACCGCTCGTAGAGCGCGGCTCGCAAGCTCTGGAACAGCAGCGCCCCCGCCCCCTCGATGGCAGCCTGGGCGAACGCCTGCATAAAGCGCCCGCCCCGGAAAGACACGCGATGATTCGGGCCGAGAAGCTACAGGAGCCCAGACGCGCGCGGGGGAAAGAATAAGAGAGCATGTTACCAAAAAGGTCCCGACACGATGGGCGCAAACGATCCCGTGACACGCCCCCTGGCGGCCCCCGCTAGAGAGGACCAAACGCACTGCCTGCGACATGTTCATTATCCGAACGCGTGAGGCTCGGCACGAGCGAGTCCGAAGGTGAGTGCGTCTGAGACCAGGTGCGTCCGAGTGTGAGTGCGTCCGACTTTGAGAAACCTGACTGTGTAGATATGAGAGCGCCTGGGTGTGAGTTGGATCCCACAAATTAAGTGGAGCTATTCAGCCATACGTGCGGAGTCAGGTAATGCTGCGTACCCCGCCGCATTCGACGCGACCGTGCTGCACATCGCCGGAGGGGCGAACGCGAGTGAGTCTGAGGTTGAGTGAGTCTGAGTGTGAGTAGGTCTGAGCGTGAATGAGTTTGAGTAGGCACATGGGTGGGAGGAAGCAGACGGGAGGGTGAGGGTGAGGGAGAGGGTGAGGCAGAGGGGTCAGACGAATAACAAGAAATCAATACGTACGACATGGAGAAGAAGTATACTTGAAACCGACTGAACAGATGATGACAGAACGAATCAAAGAGAAAACCATCACAACGCTGGTAACGATTGGCGTGTCTGGCCCTCATTGTCTGTAGTTTCGCTTCCCGCGAAACAATCGTTCAGGGCCACCGACTCATGAAGCCCAACATGGGTTCACGTGCTAGACCAAGTCCATGCGTTGTTAAAACTACTAACCAGAACACAGCATGCCACAATCGAAGGCAAGTTCCCTGACACTACCTCCCTCATCACCTTGGCGTCACCCCGCCCAACTACCACCACCACCACCACCACCACCCACAATTCCCCCCCTCCCTCAGGCGCCCGCACGAGCGCGGAGACAAATTAGCGCAGCGGCGCAACTGGGTGATGAAGAAACTAAGCAAACAACGCAAAACGCATGCAATGGAGCACACCCGTCCCACCACGGATGCGGAGTCGATGCCGTTCGTCATCTCTTCCAGCACCCCTTTCAGCTGCGCCGCCTGCATCAACGAGCAAACAATGCAACCGAGAAGGTCGGGCCTTGAACAGCAAAAACACAAACATTCTCGTCTGAAGGTGAGGGAACAAGAGCTTCATGAACTTAAGGCGAAGCAGTCGACGTCCAGCTTGATCATCATGCCCCCTCCTTTTTATCAGCCTCGTAGACACAACGCGTTGTCAAGAAAGTGGGGAAAAGCATTCGTTGGAAATGCATGCCGTAGGCCCAACACCAAAAACAAGCACGCATCTTCATCGCCCCTCATGGGTAACGTGATTTAACCACGGCCCGTGTTCCCTTTCGGTCTCTCACCGTTTGGATACACATTCGCATGGGATGCCTTGATATGGCAGGGTTGACTTATGTTAGCTTCATGTTTGGAGCAGGGTGCACTCCTTCCATGTAGCCGCTGCGCACCATGAGACCAAATGTAGCCACGGAATCACTGGATCCCGCTCATCATGTTTCTCTCCTCCTCCACACCCCTCCTCCTCATCTTCCTCCTCCTCCTCCTCCTCCTCCCGATCATCGTCGTCATCCTCGTCGTCGCCATCATGATGCTTCTCTTCTTCATCCTACCCGCCTCCTCCCTGGTTGTTCCTCCTCCTCATCATCCTCCTCCTCATTCCCCTCCGCCTCCCCATTGGCCTCCTCCTCCTCCGCAGCAGCAGCGGCAGCAGCAGCTTCATCCTCTTCCTCCTCTTTCTCCTCTGAGCATGTTTCTGCGCACCGCAGCCCTGGCTTCGGCTTCAGCTGTGGGGGCACCGCGCAGCACCCTCGGACCAGCTCGGCCGAGTCGGTTTTCGGTTCACAGGGGCGTCTCGATCCCCACTCTTCCTTCTCCCTCCTCCCCCCTTCAAAACACGTCCGTGGACGGGGGGGGACGAAGGAAGCACTCGAGTGCTCACCTTCGGCGAAAAACCACAATTCTACATTCTGGTACACACGGCCTCCGCCGGCAATGTGACACCACCGTCGCGATGTGCGAAGACGGGCTGCGTCGCAGTGCATTGCAAGGACCTGCGCTGAAGACGGCACCGGAACGCGAGACCTATCCCGAGAAGGCGCTTCCAAAGACGAGCTGTGAGCGCGCGCTGACACAGGATTGAAAAGGCCACAGCTATGTCAGATCGAAGGCGGCCGCGTGCACACGCTGCGGTTCACATGCACGTGCAAGAGGAGATCAGGAAGCCAAGGGATACCGAAACCAGCAGGTGGACAAGGGGGGGTCCACGCCTGGAGGGAGAGGAGACGACGACGAAAAAGCGTAAGACGAGAGGGGGGCCCACCTCGCAGAGAGCCCGTGCCGACCAGTGGGATCCAGAGAACTGCATCGCCGAAGGTCCACGCTTGACGATTCGCTTGGCGGCGGGCCAGGCCAGACGGACCCTACGACTCCACAAGCAAGGAGGACCGGGAGGAGGGGGGATTGGCCCGTCAAGTGCGGCGCCCGCTGGGCTCGCAGTGGGGCTGTGCACGTCGACACACACACACACAAACGAATGTCAGCGGAGCCGTGGCTAGGTTTATGTCGGGCCTGTCCCCCATACAGGGAATTTTCGACGCAAAATAAAAGATACCCCAAAAATACCCCAAAAAATGTCAAAAACTACTCAGAAAACAGTCCCCACACTACTTTTTTACTATTGGTTGACTATGTTGGGGGTATCTTTTATTTCTCGTCGAGAATCCCCCTGTAGGGGGACAGGCCCGACTTAAGGCTAGGTCCGCCAGCCGAGGAACATCGTGTGGGTCGCACGCGGTGCGGATTGCGCCCCCCTGCAGGACAAGGGGTTGCCACTTTTGCTTGGAACACCAGGGAGGCCGTAGCACGACAAAATGCTTGGATAACGGGGCATGCGCCGCCAGGAAAGACGAGACCAAGAAAAACGGACGACCCTGTCGGCGTGTGGAAGATGCTGTTTCGTTTGACTCGCCTTCGTTGACGTCTTCTTCGTCGTCGTCGCCGTCGCCGCTCCCTCTCTTTCCCTGGGCCCGTCGCCGCTCTCCCCGTTTCCTGGGCCCTCCTCCTCCTCAAGCGCGCCAGCCAAAACGAAATGGAGCAGCGTCGTAATTGAGGCGAAAGGAAGCCCCTTCCCTTTGATCTCTTCCCCGCCAGGGGGGGGGCACTCTTGGCTTGTCTTGGGAGTTTTTGGGCCCCGGCCCCCCCCTCAGAGAGGAGTGGTATTCTGACCCGGGACCCCCCAGGATCCCCCCTGGGACACCCCCCCTGGGACCCCTCCGGGAACCCCCCCGGGACCCCACCCCGAGACCACACACCGGGAACCCGTCCCCAAGACGGTCCAAGAGCACCCCGAATCGCCGAACGATCGGTCCAAGACGTTTTTACAGCCTCCACACGGCCCAAGAAGGCTAGAAGACGCCCCAGGAAGACTCGAAGAGCACTCCCAAGAGAGCCCCAAGAGGCAAAACTCACGAATTTCCCTTAAGTTTTTCAAGGATTTTGGCGTTTTCGCCTTCTCAGCTTCCCGACGCTCCAAAACGGCCTAAGAGGCTCCAGCGATCGCCCCTAAAGGGCTCCAGGAGGGCCCCGAAACCGGCCAAGGAGGGCCCAAAGACGGCCCAAGACGCCTGCAAGTCGGCCCAAGAGGCCCCCAGGAGGGTTCCGGTGCCCAGACAAGGGAACCAAGCGGACATTTCGAGCGCTCGGCCCCGAGAGGCTCCCAGGAGGCCCCAAGAGGCCCCCAAGAGGCCCCCGAGGCTCCAAGAGGCCCCCAAGGAGCCCCCAGGAAGCCTTAAGAGGCTACCTCCAGGATGCTCCCAAGGAGCCACCCAAAACTGTCCCCCAGAGGCCTCCGAGAGCGCTCCGAAGAGACCCCAAACACAATCCCTGAGGACCCACGTCAGCGTCGTCGTCGTCGTCGTCGTCGTCGTCGCCGCCGCCACCGCCGCCGCCGCCGTCATCGTCGTCGTCGTTGTCGTCGTCGTCGTCGTCGTCGTCGTCGTCGTCGTCGTCCCCCTTCAGGGTCGGCGGCACCAGCCGTAAGGCCTTGGCAATGAGGGACGATGATGAACAGGTAACGGGTGCACCTCGAGCTCACACACTGATCGTTTGTATCCAACTACGTGATACGATGTTTTAAATCAAGCTAAGAATATGAAGTGGAACACCGACAACGAAGTTGAAACACTGCATGCAGGGTACACACGCCCCCTCCTCTGTCAAGGTGACGGCACAATCGCGAATGACAGTCACGTATCAACACGCTCATACACACACACACACACACACACTTTCGGCCGTCGGCGGGTAGTCGACTTGCTATGCCGTCACAAGGTCTCGCGGCCGCGCACGCGGCGGTTACAGCCGCATGTATGATCAAGCAAAACAAAGTTTAAAGAATCTGGGCCCACTTCCCGAAAGTTTCTTAATCCAGACCTGGGTAAACGTCTGCTGTTCACGCTGCAGGGGCGAACGTGATCAAGAAACTGCGCCAGCCTTCGAGCATTTTGGTTAAAGAATGCTGGCCCGGCTTTTCGGGAAGAAGTTTCTTAATCAGATGCTCGACTCTAGAAAGGAGGGAGCCGGGCCCTCAGGGGGCGGCGGCTGGACAACGGCCGCGGGGCAGCGGCGGGCAAGGGGCTTCGGCCGCCGAAGCGGCGGGGGGAGGGGCCGCCAAGCGCCAGCCGAGCGGCTTCGGGGCAGCAGGAGCAGAGGGCGAAGACGGCAGGGGGCGTCGCGTCGCGACTCAGAAAAGCGAGAGAAAACGACTCAGGCGGGCCTGCTAGACTCAGGCGAGCGAGGAAAAAAAAACGAGGCGGGGCGCCAGGGACGAGAGGAGGGTTGCCCGCAGGCGGGGGCGGCGAGGGTGTCTGGGGCGACCAGCAAAGCGGAGGAGCGCAGCGCCAGAGCAGCGCATGGGCGGGACGGAGCGAAAAGCGAGACCCACGCACCAGCCCGCGCAGCAAGACCACGGCGAGGCGAGCGAGAGGAGGGGCGGACGGCGACCGGCGATGCGATCAGCACAGACGGCCCACCCTGGTGCTCAGCCGAGGCGATGCTCCCGCCAACTGCCGCTGCCGCGAAGCAACGAGAGAGGAGTGCGGCAGCGAGCCGATAGCACACGGACACGCACGCACTTTGCAGTCGTCGCGGGTGGGCGAATCGCCACACCGTCAGACGCGCCGCGCGGAGGACAGTGCGCGCACCACGCAGTCAGAAGAAAGACAAGGAGAAAAGGCGACACGGCCGACCCTCATGGGGCATAAGCTGGGTGCTGCGCCAGGGCGCCAGGGCAGCGAGGCAGCGGGCAGACGCCAGCGAGCGGAGGGGGCGCCGAGGAGGCGGCGGCCGCAGGACACGGCGCCGGGGCAGGGCGGGGCGGGGCAGCGGGGCGGCGAGCGAGGGCGGGACAGCAAACAAAAAAAAAAAAAAACGGCGGCCCGCAGCAGCAGGACCAGCAAGAATACGCCGCGTCAAAATGAGGCCGGCAAGACCGCGGCAGCGGGACCGGCGGGAGGAGCGGCCGGCACCCAGGCCTAACCGAGAGGCCAGGAGGGGCGGAGAAGCCAGCAAGGCGTAGAGGGAGACCAGCGGGACGACGGCGAGGGCGGGGGCGGGCGGGGAGCCCGACCCCCAAGACGGAAGCAGGCGGGCCGGGAGGCCGCACAAACAACAGGCGCCCCAAGTGCTCACCCGCCTCTGGCCTGGCACTGGCCCCGGCGGGTGGAAGCCCCTCTAGGGCGCGACAATCTTGGCGCACTGGCGCGCTGTCAGCCGAGGCGCCTGCATCGCTAGCGCCGGCCGTGATCCCCACAGGCTTGGCCGCGCGCTTCAGCGCTCTCCGAGGGGGGGCTGGCTCGAAGCTTGTCGAGGGGCCTCTTGTACACTAGCGCCGGCAGTGCTCGCTGGAACACCCTCTGCAAAAAAAGAAGCGTGGTTGGCCTGCTCCTGCTGGCTCGGGCCTTCGCCCTGCAGCAGTCGAGCGGCCATCTCGCGTCTCCGTTCCTCCGAACCCCCCACCCAGACGATGGCAAAAG